CTGTCTTTTGTTTTTTCACTATGCTATGCTTGCGATATGTAAAGTTTTGTATTATAATTAAAGAAGGCCTTTATAATGAGGGCAGTTGTAAATGTATTGTCCCAATGGGCAGAACAAATTTCATGTGATATGGAGGCCATTAGACCAATAGTGTCCTGAATAAGGAGGTATTGCAATATAAAATTTGTACATAGTACATGTTCAATAATACATATTTGCTACATTGTAGATAGTGCTGGGCGATAGTATCGATATATGCGATGGTCGCGATAGTAATCTACTATCACTATCGTGATAGTTGAATCAACACTATCACGATTGACACGTGGTACATGTACGCATGCGCATTATCAAACACGTGGTTACTTTAATGAGTTAGTTCAGCTGTAAAAATGGAAGATGTTATCATTAGTAGCAGTACTGCTCCAAAAAGAAACAGAAATATTGCCTTTACCTGGTGCTACTAGTGTTGTATGGAAGTATTTTAGTTTTCCTGCTGTTGATGGTAAAATTTCTGAGTGCTTGAATAATCTCCAAAAGGCTCATGCAGAAATTTCAAGATATTAGAGCCTATTAGCTTAGATATATATGATATACAATCCTTTGGCATGGTGGAACACAAATTTCTTTTGTTATCCAATAATAGCTAGGAAATATTTATGTATACCGGTGGCATCAGTTCCCTCTGAATGTGTATTTATAGTACTGCAGGGAATATAGGTACTAAAAAAAGAGCTTGTCTACATCCAGAAAATGTCCTTCTAGCTGAAAACCTCAAATATTCATCTACCTTTCATCCTTTTGCCTATTTTGTTACATTAAATAAATATATTAAAATTAATTGTTAATATCGTGATAGTATCACTATCGTTAAAATTTTAAGAACTATCAATCGTGATATGATAGTAGCACTATCGCCCAGCACTAATTGTAGAGTTACTTCCTATTGCAGCTATTTATGCTTACTGTATAAGATGTTTTCCTGGTAAATTTTACTTTGTACCAGCTATCCACACAGCATGTGTTGTTGACAGTAGTAATAATTGATTTTTAGATAATAATATTTTTAGTTTTACTTTTAATAATAGTACTAATGTGAATCATGATTCAATATAAACTATAATAAATAAATAATAATAAATACTTATTAAGAAGTTGGAGAGTCATTCTCTCTCCTAATATTTTCCTATACATGAAGTCTGTAATAATAATAATTTTATTTTTTTGCTCTCAATCACATTCTGCCAGCAGTCTCTTCTGCTGTGTATCGTCCAAGTTACTCGCTGATGATGTTGAAGATGGCGAGTGTGACTCTTCATCAGAATCAGAGTAGGTCTGTGTCCTCCTCTGTAGTTCTATTGCCTCTATCAGCTCTTGCATGTCATGTACGTACCAGTTTGATAGCTCTTTGACTCGAGAGCGTACAACGTTTCCTCCAAATCCAATGAATGCATCCTGGAGAGGGAAAGAGGGGTCTGATATTGTGATTGTGTGTGTGTGTATATATGTGTGTACATGCATATATGATTGTTCCTCATTCGTTAATGTAGTACTAGCTATACTTACTGCTGGTGGTGAAGCTTGTAAATCAGTCATTCCATCACCAATCATGACAACACTATTATTATGTAGAAAAAGAAAAGGAGGGAGAATACGTGTATTTACTTATATAGTGTGTACATCGTATACTTACTATTCGTGTTTCTTTTTAATATCTCTCATGACTAAACTTTTCCCTCCATCTTGACAAGTTAGCTGATCAAGATCAAACCCTTCATATTCACCTAATAATAATAATAATAATAATAATAATAACGACAATAATGATAATAATATTGAATTTAAGGTGTCGTTTAATCTCGAATGTGTGGGTGAGCGAATGGTCAAAACTAAAGGTCACTCACTACGCATAACTGGCTTGACAAGTTTAGACAAACTAGTCAGACCAGTTTATCCAGAGTGGGGATTTACAGCACATGCTAGGCACATGCAACAGATGTGCAGGATATGAATGTCATTAGCACACACTATATTTATGCACAATGTAAAAAATGTGACTAAAATTGTTGCAGAAAAAGGTCAAAAAATACAAGCACAGTATGCACATGTAATTCTTCATTGTATTCTTAATGGAGGCATTACCTGCTTCATTGAATAGGAGTGCATTGCAGTAGAGGTTCTTCTTCTCAATCCTTAAGTTGTTAGTAATTGGTTCAATGAGTCTTCTGAAACCTCCTGAAATTACATACACGCTGATCCCTCTCGAATGTAAAAGGTCGACAAGTTCCTTCACATGAGGTGTCAGCACATTATCTATGTCTGACAAGTCTTCTTCAACTAATTGCTTGACCTTTAGAACAAAGGAGAAGCGAATGTGTGTGTGGGTATGGTACATAATGAAGTGTTAAATACATAAATATGCATTAATAACCTTATTCAGAGTCGGTTTGATTATGTTCAGTCTCATACCTAATGCTTCTTTGAAATTCATGTTGCCTGACATAGCAGTTTTGGTGCTATTGGAAAAGAAAGGTTATCATAATGAAATAATAGTCATCATGATTATTATAATTGATGTAAGTATAACAGTGATTAGAATGATGTAATTCTTATTATTTCTTTGTTCTCACATTTTCTCAACTTCCTCTCCAACGCCGCACACTTTTGCTAGTCTATCTATTCCTTCTAGTCTTATCAGTGTACTGTCCACGTCGAAGCACACAGCTGTGGCTCGGGCCAGAACCTCGTAAATGCAGGTATCAGTCATTCTTTTGAAACCTTTCTTATCAACACGGCGACTACTGACTAAAGAAGAGGGAGTCTCTCAGTCTGTAGAGAGTCTGAATAATGAATTTTGCCCGGTTCTTTATACTCGCTCCACTTGTTTATTTCCGCCCACGTGGTGAGCATGATCTTCCATAGCAACCAAAAATGGTGTCAGTTTTTATTGCTTTCGTGATCTAGCTTGGGCTTACACTTTCCCTTTTGTTATTGTAATAATAATAAGCTTCTATCTTTCTAATTGTCAATAGATGTTTATTTCAGATTTTCTATTATAATTACGAATCTTTTTCATTGTCTTTTGTGTCCGCCATTTTGGTGTATGGTACACCCCTTTATGGGTGTGTTTTAGTAGCCATGACGACCAAACAATGGCTACCAAGGGCGCATTGACCATTAAGTCTGAAAAACTTCAACTGCTAACTCATGAAGTAATCCTAAGTGAGACTGTTGTTGGTAGCTTTGTACCTTTGAATAACAGCAATCTTTGCAGGTGTTGGTGACAACATAAAAGATAAATTTGATAGGATTGCTGAACATGAAAGACAAAGTTCCATAAGGGCAACAGAGGAAGTTGTGAGGAGAGAAGAAAAGCAGGAATGTGCTAGGCTTCTTCAAGAGGCGAGGTCAAATTGGCTAGAAGAAAGGGAGAGTCTATTGAAGGAATGCGAAGAGAAGAGACTGCAGTCTGTCATGATGGAAAAGTCAACACTAGAATGCAAGTTGAGAGAAGAATTTGATGATCGATTAGCTCAGATCCGACTCTCACACGAGGAACATCTCAAGGAAAGTGTTAGCAGGACATGGAGTAAAGCGGAGCAAGTCAAAGAAGAAGTAATAGAAAGAGTGAGGGCAGAGGAAAAACTGATAGCTGAGCAGATTGCAAATGAGTTGGCTGGAGAAGTTCAACAAGAAAGAGAAGAATTGATTGCTCACCTTGAGGAGGAGAAGAAAAAGGCTCTGAGTAGGCAGAAGGAGGAACTAGAGATTGAGCATAAAACACAGTTACTGCTTCATGAGCAGGAGCTACAATTAGCATATGAGAAGAAGGTAGCTGAGCTCTGTGAGCAATATGAAACAGAACTAATGGCCTCCCAGCAACTACTTGAAGAGAAGAATAGGCAGCATGAGGCTAGCCAGAAAAATTTAAAGTTAATGACAGCACAGAAGGAGGATTTCGAGGGGAAGTACAATTTAACAAGAGCAGAATTTTCGGATTTTATAGCACAATTTCCTGGTTTTAATGCAGACTTTTTACTAAAATAATAATAGCTATTAAAATTAATTTTTTGGTTTAGCGGTAATAACTTTTACTAACAAAAATAACATAATTTCATTAGAGTTGCTGTTTTGTTGATCTGACATCTGAAATAGCATTTCGCTTATAATACAATTCTAAGTTAGCAGAGGAGTCAGTCATCAGAGATGATGATGATGAAGAGCCCACACTCTCTATGTCTCTCAGTATTGGATCCTGTGATAGTGAAGAGGGTTCAGACCTTACTTGAGATGGAGGAGGAGCAGGAGGGGGAGAGCGTGGAGTCTTCCTAATCATTTTATTGGTATGGGTCTGAACGGCAGAATGAGAATGTAAATTCGGAACATTATTCCATAATCTTGTAGGTCCTGAAAGCTGATTAAAAAAAGAGAATGAACATACATTGTAATTTCGTGTTACAATTACATTGATATGGCTAACGTGTAAAGGCTGTAAATTGGTATCCTTTGGTGTATATAGCTGACGAATTTCATGATTCTGTTCTTCTAAATAGAATATTCTAACTGAGTTTGCATCTATGTGTTCTCTAGATTGGCTGAGTGTCATCCTTGTGTCAACTCGAGGACTAAACGGGTACTCCATTAAAAGCCTTGACTTGCTCCTTTCTTCACTTAACTCTTCCATCTTTGTCATTGCCTCCTTTTGCAGCTCTTGGCATTCAAACTTTAAAGACTCATTCTCTTGATTAGACTTTTCTAGTAACATCTGCGGTAACAAAAAATAATAGCTTGAGCATAAAGTACAGCATTAATGCTCTTACTTTCTCTCTCTCTAGGCTACTCAATGTAACGGCACATTTCTCTGTCATTTTTACAAGTTTTTCTTTAGCACAATCTCTCTCTTTCAAGGTCTTGTTTAAAACCTCATTCAAGTGTGAGCAGTTTTGATCCAGCTCATCAATTTGGTTCAACAACTTTGTCTGCTTTGACTGTAAATACTAAAACATCTACATAGTCATTATAATCCAGTGGTCTGTCTCTTACTTTACATCGCGACTCTATATTTGCAAGCTGTGTTGAGGTTTTGTTTAATTCCAATGATGTTTCTTCAAGTTGTGAGCAAACATCTTTGTGCTCTTTTGTCAATGAGGCAAATTCTTTACTTAACTTATCACTAGCTTCTTTTGATTTAGAGCTCTCATTTAGGCTGCATGTTAGTGATACTTTTAATCTTGAAACCTTTTCATCTAATGTTTCATTTCATTAAAATAATGTTATTCTTCATAGCAATACGTACTTTTCTCGACAATAACTGACTGCAAGTGTTTCTCAGAGTTTTTCAAGGACATTACTTCTTTCTGTAGCATATCTGATTTACTAAGCACATGTGATAGTTGTCTTTTCACCTACAATGAACAAATAAGAGTATTATAAAACTTATGCAAACATTATTTTAGTTTTACAATGTACCTCGGTTACTTCAACTTCATGAGTATTGCGATATTGCAAGATTGTTTCTTCATATTTTTCTTGATTTTCTTTCAATTGCTTCTGTAACTCATTGACATTGTTTAATACTTGACGGCATTGCTCCTCTAGTTCTGGTATGACTAGCTTTTTATGTGTCAGCTCCTTCTTAAAACTCTCATTTTCCCTTTCATAACTACAGCAGCAATATCAGAATATGTAATGACAATTGATTGATTTATGATATAAAGAAACAATGAATGATGAATTATAGATACTCGTATCACATAATAGTAATTTTTAATTTCCCCACTGTTTTAAGCAAGGAATTTATTGTTAGTTAGTTATGTATTAGCAGTTTTAGCACAATAATTTGACTAATGTACACTACAATACTTTGTGCTATTGTTAGTAATCTTGCAAATCATTGAACCATTATCGCTTACTTTGTGTAAAGTAATGCAATACTATAGTCTATGTCTTAAGTCAGTATTACACTAGCTGCTCAAGTTTCAATCAAAAACACTGGCAATTTGACCTTTGACGAACTAGTGTAATATTTTTAATCCGCTTTTTTACTCTATACAAGAATGACGCATACCTTACAAAGCAATCTTTAATAGCAGCAATATTTGCATCTACAACTGCCTTGTCATAACCTCCCACACTTTCAGCTTTTTTGTCTTGCTTTCTCTGTACTTCGAGCTTCAGATTACTCACTCTTTTAGCAAGTTTGTCCAATTGCTCTAGATATGTGGGACACTTTGAGCAAGGATCACTTTTAGCCATGTAGTTAACAACTGGTGGAGCTACTAGTGAAGTCTGGGTAGTTTGAGTACTAACTGTCCTTGTTTCAGAAATACCAAGACTGGATGCTCCCTGTGTTCCTGTATTCAAAGCACTATCAAGAGCCTCTGCTGCACTGGGTCCTAGCTCATTTGTAACCAGATCATGATAGTGCAGCAACTTCTGCTGTAGTTTTGACACTTCTCCTTTCATAGAATCTACCTATATGATGTGTGCACATATGATGTAATAAGAATATTCTTTGTCAAATGTAAGGTTGCATGGTATCACATTCCACAACTGTATTATGTGGACTCACATCATTGTCAAGATCTTTGAATTTTTTAATGAGTTGAACAAAGCCACGAACAAACCTCTTGAGTGTTGAGGAGAAAGAAAGTGGGAGAGAAGGAGAAGAGAATGAGCCAGTTTTGTGTCGCGGTGACTGCTTGCTGTGTTTATTAGTTACTTCAATTTCAAATACGCACAACTGCAGGAGAAAGGCTAACCTATGCAAGTTTGATAATTTATTTTAAAATTAATGTCACCATTGTCAGCTACCTGTCCACTAGCAGCTCCAGAAGCAACTGATCATCGTCAATGTCTTTGGCAGAGAATGCAACATCAGTGGCCTTCTTCTCGGGATAGCGCCAGGATGGTACTGATAATTTATCTGGTGGTATTTTTAGCTGACCATGGAGGTCTTTGAGAGCTCCCTGCAATATGAGGACTTCATTTCTCAGTTGAGCCTGCACCTGCGAGTTGGTGGACATCATTTCAAATTTAATAACGGGGCGGGGCTATACAGTATAAATGCGTGGGTGGTAAAAAAGGAGTGGCTGTATTGATTGAAGAAGTCAATGTCAATTTATTTACTGCAGCTTCAATGTGTACAGTAGCTATCAGTGCATGCATGGCTAGTAAAAACAAAAGGGTTTCAATTATCTTATATTAAAAAAAATACACCATATATTCTACATGCAGCTTATAAAAAGAAAAAAAGATATAAAACTTTGTAAAAATATAAAGTTTGGAAGCTTTATGTTCAAACAAAGTAACTAACAAATGCAAAGAGGATTACAAAGACAGGAGCTACTAGTTCAGTAGCACTGGATGCTTCAGCAGGACCAGTAGTTGAGCCAGTTGGACCAGCGGTTGGACCAGTAAATGGACTACAAGCATCACTGACACTAACACCACTGCATGAAGTAACACCAGATCCAAGATATGGCTGTGTACAGCAACCCATCCTGCTACTAAAGGTACTGACATAATTAAGACAAGTGGAAGAAGCACCACTGCAATATATTCCTCCAGTCCTAAAGGTGCAGGCACTAGTCAGTCGATCAAAATTACTATAGTCTCCATCATATTGGCGAATGTACCTCACCTCACAGAAATCACCACTCTCTTGTCCACAGACCCCTCGACGGAGTAATGTGATGAGGTAGTCTTTGTAATCAAATGGAAGAGCCAGACAATTGTAGTACTCTTCAATAGGGTCAAGGCATGCAGGGACACAGATTCTAGAATAGGCAGTATTGAGTGCATCAAGCTGTTGATCTGATAAGGCGAGTGAAGAGAGTCCACCAGAAAGCTCTGTGAAGTTGCAGAATGAAAGAAGGTTGCTGTCCAGCAGGTTCAGGCATGCAGAAGAACTCTGGCGAGTCACTACTTGCTTGTTGTATGATTTACCGTTAACTTTTTCCAGCCATTTAGCGATATCTACACTTCTTTTCCTTGCAGTGGCAGCACCATCACTGCAAGCAATAATGAGTAACAGAGAAAACAAGAAGACTGGAGACATCCTTAGAGAGTAAGTGATCTGCTACACCCCAATTGCTGATCTCAAACCTCAAACTCTTTTTTTATAGAGTAGCTACCCAATGAGATTCAAGACATGATTCAAGGATTCCCCACTGTCAGCTCAACAGAAATGTTACTGAACTGTAAACATGTTTTTAGGAACTATATAAACATGTTTTTCAGAGACTGTATAGTTAGACATTCGGGATAAAGAGAACTTAGTCTAAAAATAATATGAAAATCATTAATATCATTTTCCCCTCCACTAATAATATTCACAGTTCAGTTACACATTTGGGATAAAGGTAACTTAGTCCCAAAGTAATATGAAAATCATTAATATCAATTTGCATAATATTCATAGTTTCAATAATATTCACCGCATAAATTAATTCAGTATATACATATTATTATTTGTTATTATTATTATTATGCGAGTTGGACCAACCCATGAACAAACCTTTTGAGAGTTGAGGTGGAGGGAAGGAGAAGAGAAAGAGCCTAGAATAGACCTAGTCTGGTGACTGACCAGAGAATGAGTTAGTTTTATATCATAGTCATAGGCTATAGTGATTGCTCCATCTCAAAGTACACATGACTGCAGAAGAAAGGCTTTTAAACCTACACAAAATTACTACTGAATCACTTTTATCTTAAATTCAATGTTACCTGCAACAGTGCAACTAACTCCATTCCTCACTCCATGCATGCATACCTTTTAAAATTATTCCATAGTCTAGTCTCTATATCTATCTATGATTAATCTATCTATGATCAATCAGTCAATCTATCTAATACAAATTGAAGGCGTGGCTTGTAAAAAGCATGGGTGTTAGGCTAATGTCTCTTCATAGGATTTTAAGAACATTTTTGTCTACCAAAAGGTATTATATTATTATTATTATTTCTGCTTACTTTTATATCAATCTAGAAATTATTCCACTGATGGTGGCAGAATTAGAATATACACACGAACAGGAGACAAAGGTAAAAAAATTATTAGATATTGTAAATCAATTGACTTACAATTATTTCAATTGCTACATCTACATTATAATAGGTACATCAAGCAATTATGCTGGCCAGAGACTGCCAAAAGATGATGCCCTTTTTGAAGCACTAGGATCCAATGATGAGCTCTCATCATCTCTAGGGTATGTATTGTATTGTATCGTGGATTTAGAATTACTCTAGGGTGCCTTTTTTCGAGGGCTGTAGATTTCACGAATTTGCCTAAAAATCTATTTTGCAGATTTAATTTTTGCAAATTTATGCCGTCTACCATCTTGTACCGTGATAATTTGATTTTCGTGGAAGTAATTTTTGTGAATATTCAAAAAATTGTGAAATCCACAAAATTTACAACCCTCGAAAAAAGGCACCCTATGGTAGTTATATAGTGGGTTAGATGTATTATGGAAATATTGGTGTGATATTGATTGGTAGTTTCAATCTAAAATCTATCAAAATTTTTTCATAAAAAACCTGCAATTTTGATATTTTAGTAAAAATCTGACAAGCGCTTATTCTCGCCAGTTTTTCCACTATTATCTAACCACACCTACTTATATTATGATAGACTAGCAAGAGAATTCTGCGGTCCCCAGAGCACATTACCTGATAAATTACAAGAGGTATATTATGATATGATAGTATGAATATTTAATGAGTAATGTTTAGATACAGTGCTTGTTACAAGATATTGGATCACATCTGGCAACACCGCGTTCATCAGCCACACCTACTAAACTAGGTAATGCTACTCTTTATTGGAACAAATAATGCAAAGACTCTTTTTGTTTTTGATTTTATGTTGTGTTAAAGCTTAAAAGTTTGAGCAGGCTCTGATCAAAATTTGATTTGTTACGAATTTTTTAAGTTGCTCTAAAGTTACCTTTTGATCGAACAGGGTATTTTGTCAAATGATTTGGCTCAATTTTTATTATTTCTTTTGATACAAATACATGTTCTTATGTTGTGTACAACATTTAAATTGATTTTGATCGTGTTTGAATTTATTACAAATTTTTAAAGTTGTTCAAAAAAATTTTTTTAATGAAAAGGAGAGCATTATTCATTTTCCAAATTGTTTCAGATACATATACATGTATTTGTGTTGTATAGAAAGTTAAAACTGATTCCGATTAAGTTTAGATTTTCTACGAATTTTTTAACTTGTTCTAATATTGGATCTTAGTTCCTATACTATATATAGTACAGGGACTTTGACCCAATTATTATTAATCTATGATGCATGCATGAACAAATATTATTTTTTGTCGTTAGCTCATACAGACTTTAGCATGTCACATGTGACAAAGTTAGAGAAATGGATTGATGAGCTAGATGACCAACTTCCTCCACTTACAAACTTCATTTTACCAGTAAAGTCATGATATGATACTCCTATTGTTATTTCTGTATCTCTCCTCCTTTAGTCTGGAGGTAAGGCTAGTTCATTCCTTCACTTATCAAGAACAATCTGTCGCAGGACAGAGAGGAGGTATGATAATAATAATTAAAGCATAAAAATTAAAGGCCTTTTTTCAAAAATGCATGCTGGTCTTCTATGTGAGGGAAATGTAAGCACTATTTATCAAATCAACAATATTGAAACAGCTCTCATTGAAATAGCACAAAAAGCATCTACTATTAGTATTACTATTTTTATTCTCTCTCTTCTTCATGATAGGGTAGTCCCCTTATATCGCGATGGTCAAGTTGATGAAGCAGTTTTTAAATATTTAAACAGGTAAGTTTTTGACAGGCTGGATCTTTTAGTTCAAACTTAAATATTTTTTTGTAGATTGAGTGATTTCTTATTTAATGCTGCTCGCTTTGAGGCACAATTAGAGGGAAAAGAAGAAGTTATTTATCAAAGAAAGTAAAGGAACTAGCTTGTAGAACTACAATATTATTTCTAAATCATTTTGGCTTGTGTGTAATTAATTTTCCAAATTTTCCAAATTTTTGCACCATTCAACTCTAAATAAAATTGAGTCACATTATTTCTAAATCAATTTATTTCAAATGGTTTAGTCTTGGCTCACACATATCTGTATTAAGCAACAAATTTATACAAAAAATACATCATAAAACTAAAAAAACTTATAAAAAATATAACTCAATACTATAAATACCACATCAAACTATATAATGTGATTATGCTACAGAGTTCAGCTTAATATGTTCAAGCAAAGAAACTAGCAAATGCAATGAGGATCACAAAGACTGGAGCTACTAGGCCGGTGGCACTGCTGCAAGCTTCATCCACACTAATACCACTGCATGAGGTGACACCAGATCCAAGATATGGCTGTGTACAGCAACCCATCCTGCTACTAAATGTATTGACATGACTAAGACAATTGGATGAAGCACCACTGCAAGATATTCCACTACTTGTAAAGGTGCAAGCGTTTATTAGTTGTTGAAAATCATCATAGTCTCCATTATATTGACGAATGTATCTCACTTCACAGTAGTCTCCACTCTCTTGTCCACAGGTACCTTGACGGAGTAATGTGATGAGATAGTTTTTACTATCAGTTGGAAGAGTCAGACAATTGTAGTATTCTTCAAATGGATCAATGCAGGCAGAGACACAGACTCCAGAGTAGGCAGTATTGAGTTGTTCAAGCTGTGCATCTGATAAAGATGATGCAGGAAGTTCAGAGAGTCCACCAGAAAGCTCTGTGAAGTCGCAATATGAAGGAAGGCTGCTATAAAGCTGGTCCAAGCATGTAGAAGAACTCTGACGAGCTACAAGTTCTTTGATCTGCGATTTGCTATTAATCTTTTCCAGCCATTTAGTGACATCAGCTCTTCTTTTCTTTTCAGTGGTAGCACCATCACTGCAAGCAATGGCAACGAGTAGCAAGGAAAACAAGAAAACTGGAGACATCCTTAGAAAGCAAGTGATTTGCTGCACTCAAATTGTTGACCTTGAGAAGTTCTTTTATAGTGAAGCTCTGACTTTAATGAGATTCAAGGGTACATATGATTCAAGGAAGTGAAGGAAGTGAAATGGATACTCATTCATAAAGTATTACCTCAATAGAAATGCGTTATTGAACTTTAAACATGTTCTTAGAGACAGATCCCACAGTAAAGGCTATATGATCGAAGGTCAATTCATTAGAGATGTACCTCAATAGTTGCAGCAATACGAGGAATTGAGTTCACATAATGTTAACAGCTCACATGAAATATGATATGAAGTAGCCAGCTATCTATTCAATAAATAATATTATCTTCAAATTTTAGGAAAAGCACTAGTTTAATGCATTATTGACAATTATATCAAAGTATTTGTGTAATAATGATTAAAAAACAAAACAACATTAATTTGTAAGTTTATGTTGACGATCACTAATAGTTTTATTGATAAGTCTGACTTGTTTCAACATTGACTCTAAACATAACATAAGGTGTAATTTAGTTACAGACACACCCACCCACCAGCTTCATTGATTAATGGAGACAAAGGTAAAAAAATAATTTTTGTAAATCACAATTATTTCAATTGCTACATCTACATTATAATAGGTGCATCAAGCAATTATGCTGGCCAGAGACTGCCAAAAGATGATGCCCTTTTTGAAGCACTAGGATCCAATGATGAGCTCTCGTCATCTCTAGGGTATGTTATGTATAGATATTGATTTCGCAATCAGTGGTTAAGAAACCTTTCAATGTAAAATCTACTATTGATGTGCAGAATGAAACAAATATTTTATTAAAACTGCTGATTTGATATTTTGGTAAAAGTCGATCTGATAAGCAATAATTTTCCCACCACTATTATCTAACCACGCCTACTTGTATCATGATAGACTAGCAAGAGAATTCTGCGGTCCCCAGAGCACATTACCTGATAAATTACAAGAGGTATATTATGATATGATAGCATGAGAATATTTAATGAGTAATGTTTAGATACAGTGCTTGTTACAAGATATTGGGTCACATCTGGCAACACTGCGTTCATCAGCCACACCCACTAAACTAGGTAATTCTCTTTATTGGAATGTATAATGCATCCCACTCTTTGTTCTTAATTTTACTATGTTGTGTTTAAACTTAAAAGTTTGAGCAGGCCCTGATCAAAACTTGATTTTTTATGAACTTTTAAAGTTGCTCTAAAATTACTTTTTGATGGAACAGGGTATTTTGTCAAAAATGATAAATGATTTGGAGAGTTTTTTTATTATTTCATCTGATACAAATATATGTCCTTATGTTGTGTAGAATGTTTGAACTGATTCTGGTCAAGTTTGAGTTTTTTTTACAAATTTTTAAAGTTATTCCAAATTCTGGCGAAATTCCCTGTACTATAGTACAGGAATTTTGATCAAATTTTTTCAAAATGAAAAGGAGAGTGTAATTTATTTTTATAATTTTTCTGTTACATTTACATGTATTTATGTTGTGCAAAAAAGTTTGAATTGATCCCAATCAAGTTTGGATTTTTTTTGAATTTGTAAAGTTGTTCTAATATTGGTCAAAGTCCCTGTACTATAGTACAGGGATTTGACCCAATTATCGTTAATTTATAATATAATTTTTGTCGTTAGCTCATACAGAGTTTAGCATGTCACATGTGACAAAGTTGGAGAAATGGATTGATGAGCTAGATGACCAACTACCTCCACTTACAAACTTCATTCTACCAGTAAAGCCATGATATGATACTCCTATTGTTATTTCTGTATCTCTCCTCCTTTAGTCTGGAGGTAAGGCTAGTTCATTCCTTCACTTATCAAGAACCATCTGTCGCAGGACAGAGAGGAGGTATGATAATAATAAAGCATAAAAATTAAAGGCCTTTTTTCAAAAATGCATGCTTGTCTTCTATGTGGGGGAAATGTAAGCGCTACTTATCAAAGCAACAATATTGAGACAGCTCTCATAGAAATAGCACAAAAAGCATCTACTGTTAGTATTACTATTTTTATTCTTTCTCTTTTTCATGATAGGGTAGTCCCATTATATCGCGATGGTCAAATTGATGCCGAAGCAGTTTTTAAATATTTAAAGAGGTAAGTTTTTAATGGGCTGGATCTTTTAGTTAAAAAATATTTTTTTGTAGATTGAGTGATTTTTTATTTAATGCTGCTCATTTTGAGGCACAATTAGAGGGAAAAGAAGAAGTTATTTATCAAAGAAAGTAAAGAAACTAGCTTGTAGAACTACAATAATATTTCTAAATCATTTTGGCTTGTGTGTGTATTTAATTTTCCAAATTTTTCAAATTTTTGCACAATTCAACTCTAAATAAAATTGAGTCACATTATTTCTAAATCAATTCATTTTGAATGGCTTAGTTTTGGCTCCCACGTGTCTGTATTAAGCAAAAAATTTATATAAAAATACATAATAAAACTAAAAAACTTCAGTATAAAAGAATAGAAATCAATGCTATATAATTGCCACATCAAACTATATAATGTGAGAGTTCAGCTTAATAAAATGTGTTCAAGACTTCAAGCAAAGAAACTAGCAAATGCAAAGAGCATCACAAAGGCAGGAGCTACTAGTCCAGTAGCACTGGATACTCCAATACAAGGTTCACTAACATTAACACCACTGCATGAAGTAACACCAGATCCAAGATATGGCTGTGTGCAGCAACCCATCCTGCTACTAAAGTTACTGACGTGACTAAGACAAATGGATGAAGCACCTCTGCAAACTATTCCACTAGTTGTATTGGTGCAATAATCAGCTACTTGGTCACCATTTCTATATTGACGAATGTATATCACCCCACAGTATTCTCCACTCTCTTGGTCTTGTCCACAGATACCTTGACGAAGTAATGTGACAAGATAGTTTTTGTGATCAAATTGAAGTTTCAGACAATTGTAGTACCCTTCAATAGGATTAAGGCATTCAGGGACACAGAGTTGAGAGTAGGCAGCATTGAGTTGATCAAGCTGTGCATTTGACAAAGATGATGCAAGCAGTGAAGATATTCTACCAGAAAGCTCTGATATGTTACAATACAAAGGGAGGATGTTGTTGAGTTGGTTTGTGCACACAGAATAATTCTGATAAGCCATTAGTCCTTCACTGTGCAATCTGCTATCGATCTTTTCCAGCCATTTAGTGACATCTGATGCACTTCTTTTCTTTGCAGTGGTAGCACCATCACTGCAAGCAATAGCAATGAGTAGCAAAGACAACAAGAAGATTGGAGACATCCTTAAAGAGTAAGTGATTTGGTGCACTCAAATTGTTGATCTTGAGAAGTTTTTTTATAGTGTAGCTTTGACTTTAATGAGATTCAAGGGTACATGATTCAAGGAAGTAAAGGAAGTGAAATGGATACTCATTCATAAACTTTTACCTCAATTAAAATGCTTTATTGAACTGTAAGCATGCTCTTAGAGACAAATCCCACGGTAAAGGCTATTGCAGGTCAATTCATTTGGGATTGAACTTCATAGCTGCAGCTAGCAATACAAGGAATTGAGTTCACATAATGTAGACAGTTCACATGAAATTTGATATGGAATAGCTTGCTATCTATTCAATAATAATACCTGGAAAGCACTACTTTAATGCATTATGCATTATTGACAATTATATCAAAGTATATGTCTAATAGTGATTAAAAATAAAACATAATTAATTTGTAAGTTTATGTTGACGATCACTAATAGTCTTATTGATAAGTCTGACTTGTTTCAACATTGACTCTAAACATAAGGTGCAATTTAGTTACAGACACACCCACTCACCGGCTTCATTGATGACGTGTCTTAATTTTTCTCCAGAAACTTGATTCTCAGCAACAAGGTTCTTCAAAGTTTCTTCCTATTAGTAAATTTACAAGATTATCCTTTGCTCTATACTTTTCAAGCTTAGCAATCAAGACTAGTTTACATTTATATGCTACTAGACCAGTGTATCATCAAATTTTCATAAAAAGTATGGGCAAATTGACTATATATTTGACACTTTATGCTAGAATAAAGCTGAATTCTATTCCAGCATCAACATAACATCAGACCTAGCATAATATTGTAAACCAGCCTTAAAGTATAGGTGAGGGAGTGCAATATATGGTAATGGCTCAAAACTAGCACCTGCTTCTCTGGAGTGTATTCCTGATCAGGGAGTGACTCAATGAGTGTCTCAATGTCAGTGGCTGTTTGTGATATCAGTGAAGCAAATAATGTTGCATTGTTGGTGCTACCTATAATGTGTACAGTCTGTACACCCTCATTCATAAGTGTGCATAGAGCTGTTGCACGGATGTAATCAACGGGGTAGGTGGAGCTTCCTGTCGGCCATCTTGAGTGGCAAGAATGTACACGCAACAAATGGAGGAATGGAAACAAACTGCGATTTTTCATCAAAGAGATATCATACTTCGCTGCAGAATATTATAGAGACTTCTTTACTCAATATCTTCATCTCCTATCTTGCATTAGCCTGGAATGTCAACTGCAGAATTTATTTAAATTTTTTTCTCCGTTCCCCCATTCATTCTTGGCCTTCTTGCCACCCAACATGGCGGACAAGTTAGCTCAATTTTAGCCACACCCTCCCGTTGATTACTTCCGTGCAACAGCTCTATTAGTGATGAAGTGTGTTTTAGTTTAGAACTTGACTAGTCAATAATTTAAAAATGATTTTTACTCAATACATGTACTCACTTTCCCCTCCTCCTTCTTTGGTCTCTAAAGTAAGTAGAAATGCATTCATAAGTGATGTAACAACAACAAGGCAAGTAATTCAATATTATGATAAACTGTGAGAATTTAGACTATTATTATTATTATTACCAGTGGTTTGATTCTGTTGCAGAATCCCAATACTATTGCA